GAAATGTGCTTAAAAACTCACTAGCCGAGCCACTATTCCATTGTAACTTTCACTGACTTCTTGTTACACATCATGCCTGCACCCTATGGATCTATTTGTGTTACAGTCATGAACTAAGGACGCCTATGGCTGCTGTTATTGGATTGTTGGACATTCTTATCTGCGATGACTGTCTTACAAATGAACAGTATGCAATGGTTAGCCAGATCCGTAAATGCTCAACAGCTCTACTCCGGCTTCTCAACAACATATTGGATCTGAGCAAGGTGAGATACAGGACAAACCAATATGGAATTGGAACTTTTTAGTAACAGCACCTTCTACAGTTTAACCAAATTCCAAACTATAGAACTGAGCGTCCTTAGGAAGGATTAAATAAATAAAGCAACATGTCATTCTTCGATTATAGTTTAACAGTTGCTACATGGTTGGATTAACCGGGCAAATTTAGTCAGTCAAGGAGTTTTTAATTGCCCACTTGTGGAAGCAAGTTGAGAGACTGGGAGCAGTTACCGGTTCAGAAATCATAGATTGTAGAACTTATATCTGATAGTGCACCTTCTGACCTTGAAAGTCACGCCCAAATCATTTTGTTCCAAATATTTCATAGGTTGAATCTGGAAAACTGGTGTTAGAAGAAGCTGAGTTTGACTTGGGACGGGAACTTGAAGGACTCGTTGATATGTTCTCCGTACAGTGCATTAACCACAATGTGGAGACTGTTCTGGATCTCTCTGGTATGTCTCAAACTTCTGGGGAGAGAAAACTATTTTTTCTAATCAAAACTTGTTATCTAAATCTATGTTTATCTGAATACAGACATTATCTAACCCTTTTCAATTTTTTCTGCTAAATATTTTCAGATGATATTCCAAAATTAGTTAGAGGAGATTCTGCCAGAGTTGTTCAAGTTTTTGCAAACCTAATAAGCAATTCCATCAAGTTCACAACATGTAAGATGAACATTTACATTACTTATTTTTTTAACTGTAGTTTACACACTTCACCATTGGATTGAACCAAGCAAAACTATATAGTAACTATATATATTTTTTGAAAACAGAAAAAACAAGTATGATAGATAAGTAGCTCAACAACATTTATTTATGCGTATACAATGATGATGAGTTGTTACACTACAACAGAACTTACCTTTAGAGACAACTTGCATGATTAACTGTTTCGAATGGCTTTCAGCGGGTCATGTCATCCTGCGTGGATGGTGTGAGAATCCCAATGTGTCTAGTGATTCTGGGAAGTTTTCCCCCGATCAGAAGAAACCACTGTCTGCATTGAAGACAAAGTTGAAGCAACATGGCAACTATATGAAGAAGGATAGCAAAAGAGACAACAAAATGATTCTTTGGTTTGAAGTTGATGACACCGGTTTGGGTATGATTCTTTGATTTTTGAAACAGAAGGAGTTATATATGTATTGTAAATCGAAACTGTTATATTTCGAGGTAGCTTGTACCAATTTTATCTTCCATGATCTGCAGGAATTGATCCAAGCAAATGGGAATCTGTGTTTGAGAGCTTTGAGCAAGCTGATCCTTCAACAACCCGAACGTAAGTAATTTAAGCAAGATCAGATTTTTATAAGCTGGTCAATTGTAAAAAACGGAAAGTGATCTAATTTGAAAGAAATCCATGGACAGATTATGAAATGTAATTAACAGAGATTAAGTTCTAAGATCTTTTTTGTTTTTCAGGCATGGTGGCACAGGGCTTGGATTATGCATTGTCAGAACCTTGGTAAGTGAAGGCAAAACCATCGCACGTGTGTCCGAAACCTTGTGGCCAAAACAAGAATAAATTCTTAAGAATAATGATAATTTTTTTTATCTTATATAATCAAACGCACAAAATGATGAATTGCATCTTTGCTTCGCTCATACTGTCGATGGCAGGTAAACAAGATGGGTGGAGAAATCAAGGTTGTAAAAAAGAATGGTCCAGGAACTCTAGTAAGACTATACTTGCTCCTCAGCACTCCTGCAGATGGCACAGAACAACATGGTCAAATGAATTTTGCAAAACACAGTGTAGCTGTAAGTAAAGTTATGCTCTCTGAATCTGCAAATTTTTCCCTTTACTTTTGTTGGTCACCTTCTAAGTTTGATTTTCATTTTGCATAAACCAAAAACAGAAAGATCTTGAGACTCAATATTACAGCTTTTACTCATCTCTTGGACAGGTTTTTGAGAAAGCATTTTACACTGTTATCTTTATCCTGTTGGGCATTCTTAGGTAGTCACATTAGATTATAAATAGCTAGCATTCTATCTAAACCTCTTCCCAGAAAATAACAATTCTACTTTCAGCTTGCCTGAGTATCAGCCTTGGGAGGTTACCAATTCTGTTACAGTTAGAACATAGAATCTATTTTCAGGCGCTCAAAAAGCAGCCTAAAGTCAAAGCAACAGTAACAGCTAACGTATTTAAAACATCAATGCAGGTGATCCTTGCCCTACACGGCAGCATGGGTAGACTGATTATGTCCCAGTGGCTGTCTAGAAATGATGTACCTACTTTGGAAGCATCTGAATGGAATGAGCTGACACAAATCCTTCATGAACTTTTTCGTGCCAGAACTCGTAATTGTGGTTTTGACACTCATTATGCACTAGGTGAACCTCTGAGATCTAAAATACACAGCTTACAAGGCATGAGGAACCCAGTTTACGTCATAGTCGTTGATTTGGGGCTGCTTGACTTGAGCACCGATATATGGAAAGAACAGCTTAATTTTCTTGACAAATTCTCTGGTCAAGTGAAATTTGCTTGGATGCTGAATCATGATACTTCCAATGCTGTAAAGATGGAGCTCCGCAGGAAAGGACATATATTGATGGTTAATAAGCCATTATACAAGGCAAAAATGCTTCATATTTTGGAAGCAGTCCTAAAGGAGAGATATGTTGAACTTCAAAAGAGAAGTCCAAATGGATCAAAAGGTACAGCAAAAGAAGGTGATTCTCATGAATGTCTCGAAATTGATTCAACTCATTTTGAGACTTGCAGCTCTGATGATTCTGATAATTCTGAAATGAGCGGTGCTAATTCTGTAAGTTCTTTGCAAACTGGAGAGCTACCAAGAGAAGGATCCGTAAAATCCAGTCCATCAAATTGCCAGACACTTAAGAACTGCTTGGTTGAATACACACGTTTAGGTTCAGAAGTGAACAATCTAAGGACAGAAGAAGATCAATGTAATGCCAGGCCTAAGTTACATGACACTGAAGATGCCAAATGTGAAAATTCCAATTCCCCAGAACAGCCTTCAGTCAGCAGCAGTGCTAAAGATAGAGATAATTCATATACCAGTAAGGCAGCAAATGGACAGAAATCTCTTGAAGGCCTAAGGATACTGCTTGCGGAAGATACACCTGTTCTTCAAAGAGTAGCAACCATCATGCTAGAAAAATTGGGGGCTACAGTAAATGCTGTTGGGGATGGACTGCAGGCAGTAGACGCCCTCAACTGCTTGCTTGATGGAGAAGAGCATAGAAGGGAGTCCTCGTTCCGAGAAAGAAGGAACAGATTTGAGACAGAAATTTGTGATTCTCCTCCGTATGATTTGATTTTAATGGATTGTCAAGTAAGAAATCACTTGGAAGATAATGCATACTAAAAGTACTACATATCAAAGTAGAAAAATCAGAAACCGAAGCATTTGTTTGGTTAGCAGAAACTAAAGTGCTCAAAAGAAATGCTAACTAAATAATGCTTCATGCTGAGCTACTTATACCATTTAATCATTTTTGCTCAAATTCATTATGTTGTACTGCTTAATTTTTTCTGTCTTCGTGTTAAAACAGATGCCAAAGATGGATGGATATGAAGCAACAAAAGCAATCAGGAAATCAGAAGCAGGAACAGGTTGGCACATTCCCATTGTTGCCTTGACAGCCCATGCAATGTCATCAGATGAAGCAAAATGCTTGGAGGTGGGAATGGATGCTTATCTAACAAAGCCAATTGACTACAAGTTGATGGTGTCCACCATTCTTTCACTCACTAAAAGATCAGCCTAAACTTTCCTGCTGAGCAAAAGCTAACCAAAAGAGAAATGTCTAAGGCGGCTTCAGACGTAAAGATGGATGCTAGTTTAACATGTCTAGCATATGTAGTTGTATAACCCGATTTTCCTGTCTTAAAAAGTGGTTTTATCTACTGGTGGAATGGTTCAATGCTTGGGTAGTTTCTTTAGTTAATGTAGTAAGACAATCTGCATATAGCCTAAAGCCCAAAATATTAATCTCAGTAAATGTTTGTTGTGAAGAAGAATGTTTCAAAAGATTGCTTCTAAGAATGTTTCAAAGGATTGCTTCTTTCTCAGAAAAAAAAGTATACTTTATTAGTTACCCAAAAATGAGAAAACAAGTAGGACATTTATACATTCTAAATGAAATGTGACTTTTTATCCTATAATTATTTTAAGAAATAGTATCTAATAAATTGATATTAAAATTTAAATATCTGTATTTTTTTTTAATTTTTTTATACCAACGAAATACTTCAATTATGGACATTCTTGATGGTTACTTTTTACTTTCTACAAATTTGTTAGCAAAATAAATAATAAGTTGCAAAATTAAATTTAATTTTAAATGAATAAATGACTAAAATTTAAAAGTGAAGTTCAAACATAATTGTCTTCATAAGCTCGATTTTATGTGTGATTCAGGAAAAAAAACCATGAATTTTATGAAAAAAATTAAAATTTTGTGTATGACTCTTCAAAAATACTCTTTTCATTCAAACACAAAAAAAAAAAAAAAAAAAGACCAAAAAATATTACAACTCAAAATGCTAAAGAAAATAATACCAACAATATGAAGCCTCTACTGCAATAATGCTAAATGTAGCGAAAAAATTGCTACTATACCCTTATAACATTTTTTCTCTATTTATGAATAAAATGGAAATTTACATGATGGTCCCTTTTTCTTTTTTATTTCAATTTTGGTCAATATGTATCTTTAAAGCGTTTTTCCTTCTTTTAACTTGTTGCTTAAGTTGACGCTAGCTGAAAAGGAAAGCTTCAGCAACTTTTCAAGCCTATAGCATAAGGAAATTCAAGGAATAGAAAAAGAAAATGGCGAGATACGACAGAGCGATCACGGTGTTCTCGCCGGACGGCCATTTGTTCCAAGTGGAATATGCCCTCGAAGCTGTCCGTAAAGGAAACGCCGCCGTCGGTGTCCGTGGCACCGATATCGTTGTCCTTGGCGTCGAGAAAAAATCCACCGCCAAGCTCCAGGACTCCAGGTTTTTTTTTTTTTTTTTAACTATACTACCCCTTCACTTGCTTATTTTCCGTTTTGTCTCTCCCAAAAATCGGTTCTTTCTATTTAATTTTTGTTTAAAATAAATTTAGGGTTAGGGTTCAATGATTTGGACTTGCAATTAATGGTACTCCACATTGTTTAGATTAGCCTGTATCTATCATGGTTACTCATGGTTTTTTATATGTGGATTTTTCTATAAGAATTGATCTTTTGGCCCAAGAAAGGAAAACTGGTTTTGATAAAGATTTGTTTGTTACGCTAATAATTGTCTGAATGATTTAGAAAAATAGAAACTTTGGGAATTTTATGATGAGAACATGTACTAAAGAAATTATTTGAGTTTTTTGAATTTCCTCAAACTGGGCTACTTTTATCCTTTGACTGCTTCTGTTGTGTAGATCGGTTAGGAAGATTGTGAACTTGGATGATCACATTGCATTGGCATGTGCTGGACTCAAAGCAGATGCCCGTGTCCTCATAAATAGGGCTCGGATTGAATGTCAAAGCCACAGGCTGACTGTTGAAGATCCAGTTACCGTCGAGTATATTACTCGTTACATTGCGGGACTTCAGCAGAAATACACTCAAAGTGGAGGTGTTAGGCCATTTGGTCTCTCGACTCTGATTGTGGGCTTTGATCCTTATAGTGGTGTACCATCACTATATCAGACAGATCCATCAGGGACATTTTCCGCCTGGAAAGCTAATGCAACTGGGAGAAACTCTAACTCAATACGAGAGTTTCTGGAGAAGAACTATAAGGAAACCTCTGGACGAGAAACCATTAAGCTTGCAATTCGTGCCTTGCTTGAGGTAAGTTTCATTAGCTAGTTCTTCATTTGTTAACTTTTACTTTGTGTTCAAGTGTTTGCGGTTCCATTATCTCTCTTCTTTAATAAATGATATAAATTATGCTGCTTCTCAATTGTCAGTTGTTGAATCTGTAGTAATATGAATTAAATCTATTTTTAACTTGATGTCATTCCCCCACATGCCATATTCATCATGCCTTTTAAGATAAAGCATTGACTTTTAAGCCTTATTGAGAAAACATGGCTTATCAACCTGTGCCACAAGAAAATGGAAAATGCCTGAATCAAAATTATAAAATGGGGCAAAAGACTTGAGACTTGAACGTTAATGATATTTCTGTATCCAAACCAAAGTAATGATTTCATTAGTGCTTTATTTGAACAAGCTATATAACACAAGCACCTAGAGAAAAAAAAGTTTTAAGTATTTTTTTGTGAAGTATTTTTTTGTGCCATATCGTAATTGTTTCTTCTAATGCATTGCTACTTGGAAGTATGATGGCAATAAAGATTTACATGGTGAAATGATGCACTTCTTGTTAGATTATAGAAGAACAGCTTCAGAGTTTTAGTTATTTGAGTGGGTTAAAATATACCTTTTGCTATAGATGCATGTTTTATGCCATATAATGATTGCTTGTCTTAATGCGTGTCTCTTGCATGGAGGTTGTTGAGAGTGGGGGAAAGAACATTGAAGTTGCTGTGATGACAAAAGAGAATGGTCTGCGTCAGCTTGATGAAGCTGAGATTGATGCTATTGCAGCTGAGATTGAAGCGGAGAAGGAAGCAGCTGAGGCTGCAAAGAAGGCCCCTCCAAAGGAAACATGAAGCATCAACTGTTGACTTCCTTTTCCTTCTCTCCTTTTGTTCTTTTTCTTTTTAGGGTGTTTTGTAGCATTCGACTATTGATGTATTCTGCGCCCCTTGGAGGCTGGAGCTTCATTATACATATCATAGTTGTATTTACCTTTGTTGACATTTTGTATGCTTTTACGTATTTCAATGATGAATTTCAACAGTTCCCAGAGGTTGAAGCTATTTCTGCAAATGTTTTGAAATTATCGTGGTAGAAAAAATGAAGTAAAACATCCAATTACTTAATATGCACAAGACTTGCACAGATTAAGCAGTGTATGATTTTATTTTCCTGTTGAGCTTAACATCAATTCGATGAGGTCTTTTTTTGAAAAGAAAGTAAATGAGATGATGGGTTTCGCTGTCTTTAGCTTGGGCTTGGTCTAGAAAATGATGCTATCTAAACCCATGCCATTGAAAGGGTAGAAATCGACCCCAAAAACAAATGAGGAAAAAATAATTATTGGCCCATGCAGGTCTCGAACCTGCGACCTTCGCGTTATTAGCACGACGCTCTAACCAACTGAGCTAATAGGCCGTTTATTTGTGTGGCTTAATTTATATAAATTAATAATTAAATTCTTCTAGGACTTGTCAAATTTAGGGACAAGAAGCAGAGAAAACCACAGAAGCGGGGAAGGCAAATACAATGCAAGTTCCAAAACATGAAAGAAGATTACGAGGTACTACTATGTTTAATAATGATAAAGTCATTAACTTTCCGATTGCCACAGCCCTTCGCTGAGTCTCTTTCATGGGACCAAATCTTAATCCTTAAATCTCCTATTGTTTCTGATACCCTTTCTTGTTGCTGTTTTGTAGTAAGCTCTACCTACTTCAATTAATATTTGAATATCCTTTGTTGTTTTTCGAACTGGGCAACACTTTTTACTTCTTATGGTAAATATTTCTCTTTATAACGTTGGTATAGGTATAAAATCAGTTACCATGTATGTAATTTGATCAGATGCTGAATATTTCTCGGTTCTGGGCATTTGGGTTCCTGGTTTTGAAGGTGAAAATCATTACCAATTTCGTATGCTGTGAAATTTTTGTGATGGGGGTAGTGTAGGTTAAAGTTCCCGGACTAATTTTTCTATTAACATTTGGTGGATTATGGCATTTTTAGCATTTCAAAATCATTTCTTTTTATTTCTCTGGTTCAATCATAGGGTTGATTTCATGAAAGAAAGAGACTCAAACAAGGTTGAAACCAGGAGATTGGAAAAAAAAAAGAAGTTTTTTTCAAGCATAATGGGTTTATGAACTTGATTTTGATGTGTGGGTTTCCATATCTTATTTTGAGAGACAGCTGCATGAACATCTCTTCTCCACAGTCTGGAAGGGGTTCACTAGGGTATGGTGTTCAAAATACGGAATCATTCCTTCAGGTTGTGTTGATCTACCATCTAGACCTGAGTTGTAAAATAGATAGGAATATATAAATAGCAAGTGAAATCCATAATGATCAATAAAGTAAGGATAAAATCTTAATCGCTTCTGGTTGATTCATTTGGAAACAAAATTGGCGTGCAAATTCGTCGGTCCCATTAACGTTTTCTTGTCACAACTCCATATAAAAGTTTGGATAATTTCAGTTTACCGTTTCAGTTACTTTTGAGCTCTCCTACATAATAACTTATGCTAAATGGTCTGGACTCAATATTGTTAATCTCCTCCTTAACAGAAGGCTGTTGACCTGCTTCATTCACATTCTTATCATATCAATTATGTCAGATTGAAGAGAAAAAGCTAGCTGCTGCTGATGTATTATTTCAATATTCAAAATTTGCAATGGCATGCATTCGAAACCAAGCCGTCGATGTGACATGAGGCTGCATTTGATGAAGGTAATTTGGAGAAAAAGGATTACAGTTTTATCTTTTTTTGGCGGAACTGTACGCTTTTGCAATGGTATTATAAAATGCTGCACGTGATACCGTACAGATAGATGATGTGAACTCCTGTTATGCATATGAAGAGTTCAATCCTCGAGGACCAAATTTGTGCCATAATTTTTGCCAAGACAATTGACAGTAGTTATTTCCCCTTCCTTCAGGAAATATCAGGGCTGCCAACTTCAATGAAGAGAGCTTCATCCCAAGTTGCTGCTTCTCCTGATGCAATGGGTGAGTCATCAACTTCAGGTAGAGCAAGACTTGATAAAAAACCTGATAAAGTTGATACAACCGATAACTGAGGCGAATTGAGAGCAGTTCAGATATATCTATTGCAGCATTGAGAATGCCTAATGTTCTGGATGTTACCCGTATTTTATTAGCTACATACGTACCTTTTTTAAATACAACTTCTATGTAAACAGTATACTTATTGTACTAGATGCTTAATGTAATTTAGGATGTTTTAATGATTATAGGAAATTGTTTAGTTTGTATGATAGGGGTATTGTGCACCGGCAACCGTGACTTCTTTAGTAATTCTAGTTCACAATTTTTATTTCCAAAGTTATATTTTATTGTTTTTTCTTTATCCTGCATCATAAACATTCCTTGCTTGAAAATTGTGGTCCACGTAATAGAATCACGGCAGCATCATCACCATCATTATTTGACCCTTTGATTCTTAATCTATTAGACCGGATCAATCTTCTTATGGACAAAATGCAATGAAGCCCATGTCTATCATCTTTCATGATTTTTTTTTATGTATAAACCTTGAATCATGATATCATCTTAATAACTAAATTCTATTGCTGGCTTTGGCTGTGTTAATAATATTCTAGTAATATTTTTATAATATTTTATATTGATAATATTATTTTAGTAATATTTTAATAATATTTTATATTAATTTAATATTAATTTAAAAAATATTAGATATTGATTAAATGATTATAAAAATTGATTTAGTTATTATTTTTATTTATTGTATTTTTATTTGTAATATTTTATATATGTATAAATAGACATTAAGTCTCATTGTAAAATATAAGTCATTATAATAAAACTTTTATCATTTTTTTCTTTTTCATAGTATCAAAACAATTTCATGGTTCATTTCCTACATGAATCTCCTTGGAATAACTAATATTTGCTTATTTTCATTTTTGGTTGATTTTCATTTTTAACTTTATTTTTGCTTATACGTTTTTTTTTTTTTTGTTTCTCTTCTCATCTTCAAGAGTCATCTTTTATATTAATACGCATAACTTCCCACATCTTCATTTTTTTTCTTTTTCAAGAGCTTAATCACAGGTATTCAATGAGAAAATGTACAATCAATTTCAATTATTCTTGATGAAAATAACTACAATAGGTAGGTTATGGCTATGCATAGTTATCTAAAGGGAATGAAATTATGGCTTATTATTACCGAAGAACATAAAGTACCAAAAAGAAAAAAAATCCGATGATAAATTTACAAATTGACTAGAGGAATGGGAAAGTAATAATCATCAAATTCTGACATGGTTCACTAACATCATTGTTTCTTCTATAAATGTACATTTTGGGCGATTTGAACTTACTAAAGATTCTTGAAATTTTCTTGTCACACGATACAACTTTACTATCATTACTCATCAATATCATATTTTGACCACCTTATCTCGACTTCATCAAGAACCAAGTCAATCGATTAATGATTTTTATTCTAAAATGCAACATTTACGGGATATGCTTAAAATTTTTTAGCTGAAATTCAAGGATGAAAGTAATGTTGGTAATTTTATTATTTATCAAAATCAAATTTGTCTTATTAAATTTTTAATGACACTTTGAAATGAATTTAAGAATACCAAGTCTTCACTTTTGCACCTACATCCTTTATCAACTATGGATAATGCTTTTATGAAATTAATATCTGAGGAAACTCGATTGGGTATTAGTTGGACTCATAGGGTTGATATTATTGTTGCTATTGTTACTCAGAAAAGTATTAATTTTGCTTTTCACAAGTCTTGTTCAAGATGTGGGAGGACTAATCATTCCGTTTAGAAATGTAGATCATAAACAGTAGTCTAATTCATGATCCTCGCACTGACAAGTCTATTACGGCAACAACCACTAAACCAAATATTTCTAAGTCTTTTTTGAAACCATTACAATCTCCATCATTGATATTCAAACTTTTCTCAATCAAGTATTATCTTAATTTCATGTTCCTACCATGTTTGCTGCTACATTAGGTAATATTTGGTTATTTGATACTGCTTGTGGAAATCATATAACTGCTGATCTTTTTTTGTTCAAAAGTAAGATACCTATACCTAATGGTCCAATCATTAAAATAACAAATGGATCTATCTTAAAAGCCAGTCACATTGGTAATATTAAAACCTTAAAACTATATATATCTTTCACTTACCTTATTTTTAACCTTGCCTTAAATTTGCTTTCTTTTGCTTAACTTTGTGACCTTGGCCTTGATTTGCATTTTTTATAGCGATATGTTTATATTGTGCAAAATCCTCAAACAGGTCAGAAAGTTGGGATAGGACGTAAGGTTAGAATATTGTTTGAGCTTGAAACTTTGAAAATTCCACAACACTTATTACTATTGCCACATCTCAAACAACCAACTCTTCAGTTTCTTTAGATTTATGGCATTCTAGGCTAAGACATACATCTATTTCTCGAATAAAGTAATTTGCTTCCACTGGTGTCTTAGGTAATATTTCTCATAATGTTTTTGATTATTTGTCTTGTCATCTTGGAAAGTAAAATGCTTTACCTTTTTAATAAAAATGATTTTATCTCATCTGTTCCTTTTAATTTAGTCTATTTTGATATTTAGGGTCCAACTCATACACCAACATTAGAAGATTCACGTTACTTTATTATATTTATTGATGATTTCTCTCGTTATACTTGGATATATTTATTCAAACAAAGAACTGAACTTTTATCAATTTTTCATGTATTCAATAACATAATACAAACTCAATTTTTTAGAAAAGTAAAAATTTTCAGGTCTTACAATGTTGTTAAATATACAAAAATTAAGTTTCGTAACCTGTTAAAAGATAATGGGACTCTTTATTATAGGTTTTGCCTATATACTTCACAACAAAATGATCAAGTTGAAAGAAAACATCTTTATATTCTTGACATAGTTAGTGCCTTTCTCATTTCCTCTTCCTTTCCTAAATATTTTTAAGGTAAAATTGCTCTTACTGTTGTTTACACTATTAATCGTGTTCCCACACTAGTATTAGGCACACAATCTTTCTATGAGTGTCTATACAATAAGGTACCTGATTATCATTCTTTTAAAATTTTTAAATGTACTTACTTTATTCTACTTCTTACTCATGAAAAGACTAAACTTAAACCTAGAACTATATTTTGTTATTTTTTGGGTTATGGTATAAAACACAAAGGGTATAGATGCTATGATCTAGTGTTTAAACGTCTTCATATCTCATGACATGTAGTTTTTAGGAAACATAAAAAGTTCATTAGTGTGTCCACATTACATTCACCACGTTCTTCTCCATGTATTTTTACAGATTCATCTTTTTATTTTTCTTCAAATAATGAGATTATTATAAGTACTTATAACTCAAACAATGATTCATCTTCTTCACTCTTACTATATCTGATCTAACTGAGGTTTCTATTAATATAGTTGTCCATTCACCATACATATCACCTCCACTTCATCGTTCCACTCTGGTAAGGGAACCTAACACTCAACTTCATGATTTTCACTATTATTATGCTTTTGCCATATTACATGAACCTTATAATTTTTATAAAGTTGTCTCTAATCCTATATAGCAGCAAGTAATGGTAAAAGAGCTTCAGGCTCTTGATAAAATTCATACTTGGGATATTGTTGAATAACCTTCTAATAAGTCAATGATTGATTGTAAGCGGGTTTACAAGATTAAGACTCGATCTGATGGGCAATAAAACATTACAAAACTCATCTTATTGCTCGAGGATTTACACAAGAATATGACATTGACTATGAAAAGACTTTTTCCCTAGTTGCACATTTCACATCTATTCATTCACTATTACCTGTTACTATATCTAGAAAGTCGCCAACCTTTTAAATGGATGTTAAAAATAACTTCTTGAATGGTTATCTTACTAAGAAAGTCTATATGAAGCCACCTTCTGGTTTGTTTATACCTTCCAACATGGTCTGTTGTCTTCAATGTGCTTTATATAATCTTAAGCAAACCTCTAGAGCTTAGTTCTCAAAGTTTAGTAGCACTGTTGCACAACTTGATTTTATATAAAGTAATCATGATTCTATTTTTTTTATTCGAACTACTAAAAATGGTACTACTCTTCTCTTAGTTTATGTGGATGATATAATCATTATGGGTAATAATGCAAATGGTTTTCATTTTAAGTTTGAGATGAAATATCTTGATCCTTTGAGTTATTTTTTAGGCCTTGAAGTCACTAATGATTCTACTAGTTTACATTTATCTCAAATAAAATATGCTTTTAATATTATTGCTCGAGCAAATTTAATTGATAGCAAGATTGCATCATCACCATTTGAACAAAATTTGAAGCTTCCTCCTTCTAATGGTACACCATTTCCAGACCTTATTTTTTATCCAACTCCGATGGGTAATCTTATATATTTGATATTTATTCGTCTAGTTATTACCTACATTGTTCATCTGGTTAATCAATTTCTATCTGCTCCTCAATCTACTCATTTACTGCTGTCCTCCGGATCCTACGATATGTCAAGGGTATTATGTTCCATGGTTTGCATTTTACCTTTAGTTCCTCTTTGGACTTGCATTATTATTGTGATGCTTATTGGACAGAAGATCTTACTGATCGTCATTCTACCACAAGCTACTATTTCTTTCTTGGTTCTTTTCATATTTTCTTGGCAAAGTAAAAAACAAACTGTGGTGTCCTGCTCTAACACTAAAGTTAAGTATTGAGTTCTTGCAAATGCCACATCAAAACTTCTATAGTTACAATGGCTACTTCAGGATATAAATGTTTCTCATCACTCTAGCACTCTTATATTTTATAATAATTACAATGCCATTCAGATAGCTCATCATAATATTTTTCATGAGCATACTAAATTGATTGTCACTTTATTCGTCACCATCTACTTGCTCAAACTCTTTGACTTGTTCCTATTACTATTGTTGATCAAAAAGCAGATATCTTCACTAAATTACATCCACTTGATCAATTTCTTGTCCAAATTTTTAAATTCAAGTTGACCTCTATATTATCATCTTGAGTTTATGGTCTAGTAATATTTTGATAATTTTTTAGGTTGATTTGATATTGATTTAAAGAATATTATATATTGATTTAATATTAATTTAGAGAATATTAGATATTGATTAAATGATTATAGAAATTGATTTAATCATTATTTTTTTTATTAAATTTTTTATTTTGTAATATTTTATCTCTATATAAATAAACTTTAAATCTTATTGTAAAACATAAATCATTACAATATAATTCTCAGCAGTTTTTTCTTTTTCAGACTGCATGCTATGAATCGACCGGGAATTAATTAAAAATTGATGAAGAAAAAGACTGTTAATTAGGAGTTGCGACGAAATTTTCTCAATTCACATTCCTTACCTACCCTGTGACAATCGTCCACCGTGACCTTGAAACTGTGTTAGTCACGAAAGCACGTAAAATAACATCAGCAGGGAGAAATTAAGGAAGAGGTGGTTTTCCCTAGTTATTATGGTCTAGCTACTGCAATCTCAATCACTACGCGTTGTCATTCCTGGGGAAAGAAAAGTTGGTCAAATTTTTACCCTCCAAGCCACTTCATTTTAGGCAAGCTCCTATAAGTTTTTCTTTTGTCAAAGACTAATTGCTCTGCCTGCATCAGCCATAGATGATCGTGGTTCATGGACCTTTAACCAACGGAGCCAACTTTTTCCCCCTGGGCCCCCTAGCTTGCGTTACATATGGAAATGTAGCAGCATCTGTTTGTTCTCTTGAAAATATGAATAACTTCCCTTCTTTTTCAAGGCACTGTAACGGCTAATAAAGCAAAATCCAGATTAATTATAATTAGGCTATTTTGTCAGCATTTTACGGAAACAAAATAGCATAGACAAGTTTTACGAAATCCGGTTTTGTTTTTTTGTATGCATGCAGTCGGCAGCTGGCACAATAATTGTTTGGTGGGCAGAACTGCGTAAGATGGTAGCAATCTAGCAATGAATATTGAAGCCACTGCCTGTCCTCTCTCTTCCTCTGGCTTTCGCTTTCACGCCTATTCTCGCTCTTCTTTAATGCATGACTAAGATAGGTTACTCACTCCTTCGGCTCCATGTTACTTTCACCTTTCATCTTCCAAGATAGTTCATTAATCTACTTCAAAATAAAATAAAAAAAGAAAGTTTCCTTTTTCCAAATGGAATAAGAAACATTCAGAGATTTTATAAAAGATTTGAATATGTGGCCAAACATTGCTAAATCTTCATTGAAGTGTTGTCAGTTTAAAGTGTATTGTATAGATACAACCCAGAGGGGAAGTAGAGAAGTTTAAACACATTAAACTATAGTTGATTTTGTAATTAAATTCTCACTTCAAAGCCATCTTTCTATAATCCAAAACCCCATTCGTAAAGAACAAAAACTCACATGTTCTACTTCTACTTCCCCCACAAGTGCACTCCTTGCTGTTTCGCAGTCCCAAACTACAATAGAAGCAAATAACCTTTCTGTCTATTTTGTCCACCACCTGAGACAGGTTTGAAGAGGGAGGGCTTATCCGCAGCTCAAGATTCAATTCTGGATACTTTTCTCCATCTGGGTCGTTCTGGTTTATGTAACTAAGCTCATTATTGGTCTTCACAACTTCTCTCGTAACTGCAGTATCTATGCTGTGAATAGCAGCTTGTTCATTGATCGATCGATGTGTTAAGGGGTCAATACCTCTACTCAGTAACTTCTTCTTTATGTGGGTATTCCAGTAATTCTTGATCTCATTATCTGTTCTTCCAGGTAGCCTTGCTGCTATTATTGACCACCTTAACTCAGAAACAAAAAGAAATAACTTTAACCATTTCGGCCAGCTAAGGCATGAAAAGAAAAAGTAAATCAAAAGATCTCCTAGGCTTACTTGTTACCAAGAAGGCTGTGTAGCTTGATGATAAGTTCATCTTCTTCATCAGTAAAATTACCCCGCTTAACATCAGGGCGAAGATAGTTAATCCATCGAAGACGGCAACTCTTACCACAACGGAGAAGGCCAGCAGCTTTTGGGAGTGATCTCCAACAACCCTCTCCATGAGTTTGGATATAAGCTATGAGACGCTCATCTTCTTCGCTTGTCCATGCTCCTTTGTTTGTGTGACCTTTCTCACAACAAGGGGACCTGCCCATGTAGTCCTGCTTCAAGTAGTGGACTTTGCACTAATTTGGTAATGGTTGTGTAGCTTGGGTGGGGCTTTTGGCAAGGAGGGTGGTTTGCTATTCTATTGCTAGATATTGGATCAAAGGAGATGGATATTGTTTGGTGCGGTCTAGTTAAAGAAGCAGCAAACCGAGTTTATATACATATATATATATATATAGGATTTGTAGTACGACTGTATTAAATGCTGCTTAATGTAGTTGGTAAAACTGAACGTCGTGTGGGCGAAGGTCAAAACTTCGTCCATCCAATCCGTCGTGACTCGCGCCACATATGAAACTTTAACAAAGTCACATCGCTCTCTCTCTCTCTCTCTCTCTCTCTCTCTCTAACAACACGTCTACTACATGGCAATGCCATCATCACTGTAGATTGTACCAAAATTTTGGTCCATGCCTATCCGAGTTTGGTTAAAAATCACTATGAATTACTATTAAATTGTAGCAGACGATTGGAGAAGCAAAAAATCTATGGTTCCTCTTCTCCTTTCAGAGGATAAAAAGCGTTGAATTATAGGGGGGATATGAGTGATGTAGCTGCAGTGAAATTATAAATTTCCACGTTCTGATCAGCAATGATTGGCTCTTGATCTCGTCTTGTTGAAGTAATGGAACCCATATATTAATCTCAAGTTTTAAACCACGAAATTTAATCCAGAAATTTCCAATGCTTTTATTCCATACTACCTTTTAGCCTGGCATGCGAACTAGTAAGCAACTAGGCTCGCAATTGGGTCCTGGGTGTCACTTTAGGCCTAACATGAGAGCTTAGAGCTTGGGTCATAAACTTCAAGCCTGCCCAAATCAATATTTCCTATGAGCGCAACCGGAGAAATTTTTTTTTTCATTTTCTTTTTTAAAAATAAATTATTCTCAGCCAAAAATACATCACCGTGTAATTATAAGATAAAAAATATAATATTATAAATTATTCTTAAATTATAGTAAAATATTTATTTGATATTTAAATTTTAAAAAATTTTAATATGACATTTAAATTTTAAATTATTAATTAATATAATACTTAAATAATTGTTCATCTAACATGTACTATTATTATAAACTAATCTCATTATAAATAAATATCACATTAGATAATATATTTTTAGTTAAGATATTATATTAAATATTTTAAAAATTTAAATATCATATTAAATATATTTTAATATAATTTGTGAACTATTATGATATTAATCCTTAAAAAAAACCTTTTTATAAGGTAATATTCTAAAAAATATATTATTTCCTTACATTTTATATAATTTTTTATCAATGCAAAAATCTTTATTTTTTTTATGCTAAAGATGAAAATGAAATAAAACATTTAGAAACATCTTAACATTATTACTTGTCAATAATATTGTAATATGTCAGTAAAATTTTAAACTCTTATTAATTTTAATAATCTAAAATTAAATTATAATAATCTCATATATAAAAAACATAATTTTAATATTACTGCTTCAAAAAAATCCTATAATATTACGAAGACCGAGTTCTATATTTTTAAGAAGACGTGTGATATTTAACAAAATGAAGGGCGGTGTGTAGAATCTAATTTCCAAAATATGAATTATCGTTGTAAGATAAAATATATTGTAAGAAACAACATTGGCGGAATAATAAGCAGAAAAAGCCAACGCGAGCCACCTTTGGATTTGGGAAATGGTTTGCTCTTATCATTGGAGGGTATGAATCGAAGCATGCTTTTACTCACAGGTCATAACTCTAAATATGCTGAAATTAGGGGTGAAAAAGGAGAATATCTCTTCTCTTACTGAAGAGTCCACGCCTCCACAACGGCTAGTACGTAAAACGGTAACCTCAACGGTCGAAATTTTCAAATCTTTTCTCCTAAAACCTCTCTAAATCGCATGGATTCTTACTCGCTCTCTCTTCACTTCTCCCTCTCCATTCTTCTTCTCCTTCTTCTTCACTCTTTTATTTTTCTCTGTCCCACAAATCTTTCTTCATCTTCGATATCACTGCAAAAGACAAAGGAAATTATAAATAATAAACTGTGTTTTTGAAGATGTTACAAGATGTGTGGAACGCTCCTCCTGGATTCAGGCCCTCTAAATCTGCCCCTACTTCTCCAGCGAAGCCTCTCGGGGTTTCTAGAAGTCGGTCTGAGTCCTTCCAAGCCATCCACAAAGTCCCAGTTGGTGACACTCCTTATGTTAGAGCCAAGAATGTTCAAGTAAGAATATTTGAGAACTGTTCTTTTTTTTTTTCTATTTATGTTTCTTTCAAGGGTATTTATTGGTTTGGATATTGGTATTGGTTCAGTTGGTAGATAAAGATCCAGAGAGGGCAATTCCTTTGTTTTGGGCAGCCATCAATGCAGGGGATAGAGTGGATAGTGCTTTGAAAGATATGGCCATTGTGATGAAGCAACAAAATAGAGCAGAGGAAGCCATTGAGGCTATCAAGTCATTGCGTAGTAGATGCTCAGATCAAGCGCAGGAGTCTCTTGATAACATTCTATTGGATCTCTACAAGGTCTGTTCACAAATGTAAAATTAAGAAGAACTATATCAAGGTTGTTTTTAGCAATGGCTGACTTGTTTTGTTGGTTATTTTAATTCTACAGAGATGTGGAAGATTGGATGACCAAATAGCATTATTGAAGCACAAATTGTATTTGATTCAACAAGGGCTGGCTTTCAATGGGAAGCGCACCAAGACAGCCCGATCTCAAGGAAAGAAATTTCAGGTGTCCGTGGAACATGAAGCAACTCGGTTGCTGGTAGGACTCCAGCCTTCTCATCTTTCCTTTTTATCAACTCCATAGTTTTAATGGATACATGTATTAAGAAAATTCTTTTTCTTTTTCAGGGAAATTTGGGATGGGCATTGATGCAGCAGAACAACTATATCGAAGCAGAAGATGCTTATCGCCGGGCACTTTCAATTGCTCCTGATAACAACAAGATGTGTAATCTAGGTATTTGTTTGATGAAGCAAGGTAGAATTGCAGAGGCTAAAGAAACTTTGCGAAGAGTGAAACCAGCAGTTGCTGATGGACCAAGAGGGGTAGATTCCCATCTCAAGGCCTATGAGAGGGCACAGCAGATGCTCAAGGACCTTGAGTCTGAGATGATGAACAAGGGAGGGGACCGGATTGAACAAAGCCGGCTCTTTGACGCCTTCCTTGGTTCTTCATCAATTTGGCAGCCCCAGCCTTGCAAGGATCCTATCAGCTTGCCAACAGCAAATGCTGTCAAATCACATGATGATTTTGCAGATGAGAATATCAATTCGAATATAATGGCAAGCCAGATGGTGATTCCTCAGCAGGCAACTGCAAAACCAGTTGCTTTTCCTTCAGGAAATTCTCTAAATATTGATGCACCACCGTTCTATTCATCAAAATTCGTGAAGGAGCCTGGTGTAAAAGATTCAGTTGGAAATCAATTGCATGACACTCTTAAAAGAACAAGGTCTTGGAACTCTGCTAACTCTATGAGAGTGAATGAAATGGGAGACTACTCAAAACCTTTCTCTGCAGAACTGGAAAAACCAGAGATTAAGACAAGAAGGCTTTCTCCTTCATCCGAAGAGAAAGGAGACAAATTGGCAGATTTATTACCCGACAGCGAAGACTTTGAAGAGGCTATCATTGCTGCAGTTCTTGGCCCAACAAATGAACCAGGGAAGGGGGTTGGAACCAGCACTCAAAAGATCTTTCCAAAGAAAATTGACAAGAGGCTTAAGGTCTTCCAAGACATTACTCTTTCTTTGAGTCCTAGAGCCCTGACTTAATCTAATCATGTTAACTGTCTTTAATTTAATTTCTTAAATTGAACTAGTCGGTTGGAGATGAACTTGTTCTCCTAACCTCTTTGACTTCTATTCCTGTAGAAGAAGGGGTAGCAGTTTTTAAGGTAGCTCAAGTTGCCGTAAGCTATTACATTTTTATTTATATTTACGCCTCTCAAATAAGGCGCATCCCCACATCCATCAAAATAAATACAATTTAGCATTTCCACAACTGAAAAGTATTTGTTTTTCGCCTATCTCACTTCTGAATTGGAAATTATATTCCCAAGTTGAGGTTCTTCTGTTATGCAAAAACACACCAATTTGTGCTTATTTAGTTTGCATATGGCGATTGAAATAGGATTCAGTTTGCATGTTAAGGAAAAAGAAAAAAGAGTAACTTTATCAATGAATTATTTGTACCCAAAAAAAAAAACACAAGCAAACTGAATCCTATTCCAATCGCCATATGAATTGTGCAATACTTTACAATTTCCGATTTGAGTAAGGTGAAACTCAAGTGAATTTCCTGTAAAGTTCATAATAGTTAACTGAGGATTGCCATAGCTGCAGCAACAACTCCCACTCAAATCTAACCTTAAAGGTGAAATGAAGCCTAGCTCAGAGAGTTTCTTGTGGGAAGCTGCATAATCTGAAGAAAGCATCCTCATTCTGCCATTTAAAAGAGAATAAAAATCTCAATTCCTTGTGAATAATAATAGACAATGGAACAAGTAAAATTCTCCTCCAACTTCAAGTGAGAGATACGGTTACTTTGCAGTTTATGGTTTAGAGCCACGTTGTGAACAGGTATCAAGCTGAATCAAAAAGACCAACATAGCTGCCGAACTTCGGATTATCTACTAGAGCCTCGTCCGTGGGAAGTCTCAGTAGATCTGAGTCTGACTCAGCAGCTCCCTGATTAAAGGATGACATTAGCTGAACGTACACATACTTTAAAGGATAAGAAATTGCCAAGGTTTTTACCAAGAACTTACCTTGAAGTATGAATTGTCAAACTTCAACGGATCCTTTATCCAAGCACCCTCCAAACCTGATCTTTCAGGATGTGCTCTCCCGTAGAAAATCAGAAACAGAAAACTTTAATTTGTTTCTTTTAACTCGTACTTGATTAAGAGCTTTTGCTAGATTCTTATTGAATTGCATAGAGAAAGTATCAATGTACGGGCCCCAGATAGTGCCACAATTTCCATGTCAAATAGACCCATCCCCTTAAAGATGTCCCTCAAATGTCAACCAAATCAGAAAAAGGCGTATGTACATCGTAACAAGGTAATGTCAACGAAAGCTAAATTTGTAAGACACCTTATATGAGATAAAATCGT